AATTATGGTAGTAAAGGCCTTCGGGTCGAAGATTATTTATTCAGTTTATATTCAAGATTCAAGACAGACTGGTGTTTGCTGCCATTGCTTTCAGGTAGGGATCACTTGTCTATGCTTTTGCGGCAAAAACGTAGCTTGTTCTCTGTTCTCACTTGCTGATGTTGATCTCTTTCTTTCTCCAATGAAGGCGCGGCTACCTTACGATGGGCGGGGTCTTCCACCAGGTTCGTAAATTACTATATTGTTACAGACCCTGCATTTGCTCATTCATTTATCTTATTCCCATCCTTCATTCTAGGTTCAATTAGCTGATATCATCATAAAAAAGAGTTTTTTTAGACTCACTTATAGGTTCGTGTGTGCTGCAATACAAAGCGCTAAAACAGCTTCAACGATTTAGAAACCAGTCATGTTAATTTAACTTGGACTTCTTCAGACGATGACCGGCGATCCCGAAATGAAGAGCAGTTTACTCCTACTTACTCGTAAGGTTTTCTTTTATATTAGCATGCCTTGTCTTCTTAGTGGTGCTCAAAATTGTGCTTAATTCCTTTAATATAGCGCCATTGTCCATCGCGACGATATTTTTTTTATGTATTATGCCACTTTTATATCATTAGTCTATCTTCTCTACCTTACATATTACAAAATTTAAAATTATGATAGGTTATCTATGTATTTCAAACTTAAGTTAATTATGTTTACTTAGCGTTACATTCCTAATCAGAGTTTTTTTTTTTCCGGTCTTAGACACATACACTCTATTTATTATCCACGAAGGCGCTGCATACGCAAACGATGGAGGCAGAATCTTAGCAGTTAGCTCTCAACTAGTCTGTTTGGTAACTGGATCCCCCAATCTTTATTTTTTCCCACTTCATCACATCTATCCAGCTTTACCAAACACACTCACTACACACAGCTGGGATACACTATTTATTGTAAATGAACACAGCCTCCTGCCCTTTTGACTACACTCATGTAAGGCTCCTATATACCAGGCTGAATCATCAGGCATTCGCGCTCCCAAGTGGGAGATTTAATGGCGGCTGTGTAGTTACGGTGCAACAATTTTTTGTGTTTTTTTTTTTTTTTTTTTTTTTTTTTGTGTAAAATGGGCGGATGTACAGCTATTAATTGTTCAAATCATTCATGGAAAGGTCATACATTGGTAAAATTTCCTAAAAATGAAGAATGAAGAAAAATATGGGTAAATAATGCCGAAGAGACAGTTGGAAACCTGGTCCAGGCGCTGAACTTTGCTAGTAAGTATAATGTTAATTACGCCTTCATTTAGAGTTTTATTCTTCTCTGATGTTTATAATGTGCAAGTAAAGTGAAATTCTTGTGTACAATAACCTGAGTATCTGCTAATTTCTGTAATAATAGCTATAATTAAATTAGTCTAGGGTTAATGTACCCGTGGCCAAACATCGCCAATGTAGGTGTTTTGAATGTGGAAAAGAAATTTCTCTTCTAATATAAAGCGCGGATTTTGTTTTCCTGTGCTAATTGTGGAATTTATACTAATGTAACATGAAAATCATTAGCATATTGAAATTTATTAAAAAATAAATAATAATTTGGAAAGTCAAGATAAAATCTGAATGTTTGCTAAAGATATATGTAACCATTATACTATAGTTGCAATATCGTTAGAATGATATATAATTTTTTTCTTTATTTTATAATCACTATTGTTAAAAAGTTAGATGAGTTGTTTATGCACGGTGCCCACTACTGTTTCTTGGTTAAAATAACTTCCAGAATTTTGACATTGACATCTGAAGTCAATGGAATAAATTGAATAGTGTGAGACAAAATATATATAATCTGACTTCAATAATTGCAAGGATTGTGCAAGTTTATTTATAATCACAGTATTATACAATTTGGCAATGGAGTAAAGATTTAGAAATGAATGCAGAACATTCAAATTAGTATTTTCTTGTTTCTAATATATAGAAATATAGTCTATTTTCCAGTATAAAAGTTTTACTTCAAAGTATGGGAAAGCAGATTTGTTTCATGCATGATCTTTATAATACTGGTATGAAATGAATGAATTTTAATCTGTAAACAATTTTTTGTTAATATTGAAATGCGTTTCTTTGGGTACATTTTTAGGCACTTGTGGATTATGTCAGGCAACATGCAATAGAAAAAAGATGTCCGTGTGCATAAATTTTCCCATTGTGTTACTTCATTTTATCTAAATTTCAAGGATAATTCTTTTCATTTTTATATGGCATGTTATCAGTATAAAGGCTAGTGAAAATAAATTAGTATGTGTATCTGTTTTTGAAGTGTAATGCTTAAATAAAAAGATGGTGTGTGTTTCTTCATTTAAACAACATTTCAAGGATAGTATTTTTCAGTGTTGTACTGTTTGTTATTTCTCAATGTAAAGGGGAAAAAAAAACTGGTATGGTATATCTGTTTTTTAAGCATGATAATTTTATTTATTTCTTTAGTGATGCATATATATAGAGAGAGAAGGTGTTTGGTCCAACTGAAGTTATAATAAATCTAATTTTACTAGATCTCTCCCTCCCCTCAGGTGTAGAAAATTTTCAAGTGCAGAAAGTTATGCAGAATTAATTCATTTCTGATAAACTTATTATCATTAATTTTTTATATAACATGTTATTAAGTTACACATTTGACTACTGTGTAATAAAATTGTATTTAGGGCAAAAAATTAACTATAATTTTGCATCTGGTGACTAATATCATATGCTTCTAAGAATATTACTTTAACTTTTTCCATAATTTCTGTATTTCAGGAACATGAACTGTTATTTTGATATACTTAAATAATAAAAGTGTGTATCTGAATCAATTAATGGATACAAATATTTTACAGTTATTTTAGAAGATATTTGCCATATCGCTTCTAATAATCATAAAGTATGTTAAAATATAGGTAAATAATTTGGTGCAGAATTCAAATTTAGGGTTTAAAATATAGTGAATCATAAGACTAAATGATTTTATTGTCATGATTTGCCTGGGCTTAAGAATGTACTTTTCGCCCGGTGGAAATTGTCATCAACTGTCCTGAACAGGCTTTTTGTTGATAATAACTTCCAGGCTTATCAGTATCTCCTTTTGAGTGAGTGTATGCAAATATAGTACCCAATTTAAATTACATTGTGATGTAATAATATTGTGGTATTAAATAAGTGATTATAATTACAATTTAGGTAATTGCATTGTAATTATATTACATTGTATCTGTGAACTTTTAATTTCATTACTTTATGAATTATGTGGTAGGCATAATCTAATTGCAGAATATAATCTATTCGCAATTACAAATAATTATAAATGCAGTCACATCTAAATAGAGGCCATTTTAATACTTTTAAATTTTCGCAAGAAAACTTCCCATTAAGTTTCATTTGGAGGAAACTATGCAAATACTAAAAAGAATTATGCTAAATTACATATTTGTACATACTTTCTTGTTATAATGCTGTTCAAGATCTTCAATACTTTTGTAAATTTAAGACATTCTGCAATCACTGTGGTGTTAAAGAAGTTTCTTAGTTATCTTTTCTAATAAAAATAGGTTTAAAAAAGTATGTATAATAACTACAGTTAAAAAAAACTTGACTGCATGAAAAAATGTGTTGGTGTAAAATAAAAATAAGCTTCTTTATGCTTTGAAATGAATATATGTGGAAGCGTCCTTTACATGTAAAAGGGTGGTTAAACACATCGGAAATGGGGACAGGTTTTATCTAAAGGTATAAAATATAAACTAGAATTATTGGAACAGAACCCAATTACAAATTCATTATATACGTTCAAAGTATCTTTATGGAAACTGTTTTTATAGGTAAAATTGGATTTTTAGAAGTATAAAATACAATGCAACACAAAGGTGTCTAGTGAAGAGGAAGGACTTTTTATACGGTTTTAGGATTTATATTACATTTGTTGAAAAGCATCCAAACACAGATGCTGTACTTTCTTCCAGATGGGAAATTTTCACAATTTAAAAGAAGGTCTTAGAATTGCACAATTATTCATATACCTCATAAAATGACACATATCTTAAGTATTTTTAGTATGAATTACAGTGTTTTATTGAATTTTGTTAAAATGTCATGAGAAATTTTGCACGCCTACGCTTAACTATTTCCCCATTTGACACTATGAAAGTTTTTTCATATCTTATTTATGAGTTGCAACGAACCTGAAACATCTAAAGCATAAGTTATTTTGAATATGTTTTACAAAATATACGCGAAATTTTTATTTAAGTGAAAACTTCTATATACTATTCGAGAATTAATAAATTATCCGTAAAGTTTATATGCGCTGAATGCCTCGCGTCTATAAAATCAATCTTTTAAAAAAACAGCAGACATTGAGCCAGTGTGTGCGATAAACGGGCCAAAATTGGCAGCGCGTTCCCTTACTCGCCAAGCGAGAAAAGTTGGTGATTCAGCCTGGTTTAGAGGAGCCTTACACTCATGGACTCAATCTTTTTTTAGGAAATTTTCCATTCCTTTTCCTTTTCTTTCTATAGCCCCCTTTTTTTTCTATATTATTTTTGGGCCATTTATTTTAGTTTTTATTTTGTCCCATCTTTTTCTCCTGGCCTTTCGAAGTCATATAAAGAGTACGAAGTTCCTTTTTTCTCTTCTCTGAAATACGAAGTTGTTCGCTTTCTATACATCTTTCCTTCGCACCAGAGCTTGATTTTTTGCTCATCGGTGCAGAAAGACTTAAAAGGTGCAAAACAGGACGTTTGTCTACTTTGTCTGTCTGTCGCTCGCAAATTACGAAATGTTGCTATGGCGCTATAAATGAGAATTATTGCCTCTAGTAACCAATTTTAACGCTTTTCTTCCAGTCATCACAGCTTTTTTTTTTTAAACTAGTGATTTTGTACAAGTACATTAAACACATTTGAAACATGTCTTGCTATTTCGGATTGTATTTCGGAAATACCAATATGTGCCTCGCTATGCATAAAGTATGCGACGATGTCAGATTTTTTTTTTTTAAATTAATTTATTAATTTTAAACTTCACTTTTAAGAAACCTAAAGTTTAGTAATAATGTACTTGAAATTATCGTTTAGCAGATTCCCTTCTAAAATTGGAGTTTCCAAATGCTTGAAACTTTTACAGGCAATTTTTCTCACCTTTCTTTTTTAATTTTCTTAAAGTATTCTAAAATTGTAGACGACAGGAATTTCTAATAATGAAAATTATATACAGTTATTCTCTACTAGCTTATGTTCAGAAAATTTGTTTATCCAGCTATATTTTAACCTTAATTCTTGTTGTTACTTTTGCTCCGTTGTAATCAATCAACCATATATATTGTACTTATCTCCGAAATATGTAGATCATAAGTATGTAAAACTTGTGCATAAATGATTTTAATCTAGACTTTCTTCTTTAGTGATATCTGACATAAGTGTAATTATTTACTTAATAATGATAGATCTTGTGTATGTTCCCAGAAAAAGTGCACATCTGTTCTTATACATCTTGTCATATATTGAAGACTACATGAAAAAATGTTATTCTTACTATTATTTTTCAGGATTCTCAAACTGAAGTTCTGGCAAATGCTGGTGGTTACAGAGTCACCCCATCCGTGATTGCTTTTTTAAATGAAACTGAAAAGGTGAGTATTTAAGGTGTGTTTTCAGTACTAAAGTAATGCATTTTTACTCTGACTTTTAAGACTTACGGAATTTTGTAAGTTTATTTTGAAAATAAGAGCAATAACAAATTAAAATTTGTTTTCATCTCATTTATTTTTTAATGCAAATCTTTTGAATCTGAAGTTACAGCTTAATTTATATACTAACATTTTATTGAAAATCAGTTTTATTTATTTGATGACAAAGGGAATATAGTTTTTCATTTATGTATAACAGTGATTTGTAAATTATGAGTCAATACTAAAACTTTCAAGTGATGCAGTTGCTTTTATCCAGCTATGAGTTTTGCCAGACTTGCTGTTTTTATATATTTGATGCAATCAGAGCATAAGAAAGGTTCAGCAAAAATATAAGGACAGGTATGTTTTCAAATTTATCGTTTTTCTCGACAAAGTTTGTAGGTAAGGTGTCCCAGACGCCAAAAAAAAACTGTAGGACCTGTTATACTTTTAATGAATTCTCTGCATATGTTTCTTATTTTCTGTGAAATATTTTTTTTTTTTTTTTTTTCAGTGCTTTAGAAATGATTTTTTGATTTATAAGCCTGGAAAATAGATAGTGAAGTAAATTACTATATGGGTTATAAGAGTAATTACTGTGTATATGGATATTTTTTCAAGTGTCTAAAATACTGTCATTCAAATTAGAAATATGGATCAGTTGATTCTTTTCACAAAAAGAAATGTGTTCATGTACAATGGCCTAGATCTCCCTTGGTATGACATCTCAAGTGCTGGCTTGAGATACTAGTATTCAAAGCCACTAATTTTCAGCCTCACATAATTGACCCATGTGTACATGGTTCAAACTGATGTTTTCTGCTTCCCCCCCAAAGTCCATTTATGGTGTTTTGAGACAACCTTTGCCATTAAGGTCTGTAATGGTTAATAGCAGAATGTAACACTCGAAGTGTAATTATATTTAAAAAATAATATAAGGTGCTTAATGTTTTCATGAATTGAAGGACGTATTTCACAAAAATTTATTTTTTGTAATAAAAAATGAAACGCTTTCATATATTTATTTTTCGCTTAGTACCAGAACAGAAGAGCAGTGATAGAATGTAAAGAATTTAAATCTGATGCTGTATGCATACTTTTTCCTATCATCTCAAATCATTTAAGAAATGATAACTGGTAGCTGTATTGGATTCATGATAAATAATTTTATTGCATTCTAAATTGTACTTTATCTTTTTGATTATAAATTATAAAACTGATTGACATATGTTAATTATAATATTTTTCAGGTTGTGGGATTAGATGCAAAACAAGCCATGCACAAAAATGCAGCTAATACTATAACAGATATAAAGGATCTTTTACAGAACAATGGTGAAACTGATGTTAACGACTTTGAATTAAAATCACCACATAAGGTACTTCACAATTTATTTTTTTTTTCTGCGCTATATTTATCATTATTTTAGAAATATTATAGCTAAACTATATCTTAAATGTATATACTTTGATTTTGAACAAGTATCCTTATTCTGTTGAGAAAATTAAATGCTTATTTCTTTGGTATTTTTGAAGAATGAAGTTATGCAAAAATTTCAATTTGCTCTGAAATTTGAAACAAAGTTTTCTTATTTTACTGCTTTTTAAAGTCATGTCCTGGTTTTTTTCCTGTTTCAGTAAAGATTGACATAGTGTAGAGATTTTGTGAAATGGCAATTATTTATATTTTTACATTTTATTTAATTCTGATTTAATTTTTTATATTTAATATACAAAATGACTTGCAAAGAATGATTGTTCAGTATCTTTTAAAACACCATCTTATTAGTATGCTTATTCTGCATTGTATGTAGTAAATATAGATATGTTTTTATTATTTTTTAAATTAGCATAGTATATTATGATGGGTGTTAAGATGAAAAGGTATGAAATGACACTGTGTGTATAATTGAAGTCTTAATTTGCAAGTAATCACCAGATTCCTGAGCATGACTATTACACTGTTTCACTAACCAAAGGATTCCCTGTTTTCAGAATTCCTGTGGCTGTAACAGGAGCCAGTCCTCCATTGTGTCCTTCAGTTCATTGCATGGGTTTACAAGCTTCTGTTTGAGGTGTTTTTTAAGTGGACCAGACAAATGAAATTCACAGGGTGACATGTTTGGGCTGTAGGGCAAATGCTGAAGTTGCTCCCACTTGAATTTGGTCATTACACTTCGTGTGACCTTCTAGACATGTGGACGTAAAGCTATCATGGAGCAGAATCATTCCTATCATGAGCAGATCAGGCCATTTGCTCTTGATGAACTTTTATAGAGTATGGAGTGTTTCTTAGTACACATCACTGTTAATGGTTTTTCCATGCTGGAGGAATTCGATGCGTATCGGACCCCAGATTCAAAAGAGATGGTGAGCATCACCTTGCCTGCTGAGGTTAGAGCTTTCAATTTTTTATCCGCTTTGTCTCTGGCTCGAAGTGATGACACCAGCTCTCGTCATCTGTCAGCTCCAGGAAAGTGGGGTCTTCGTGACACCAGGAAAAGTACTGCAGTGCTAGCCCCATACACAGTTCCTTTTGCGGTTTGCTGAGGTTCTTCAGAACCCATTGCATGCACATCTTTCTGTAAACCAGTCTGTTGTGCACATTGTTCCATCCCACCAACACTGCCAGCATTCGCATTGTGACACGCCAATCACTTGTCACCAGGTCATTAACTTTGTCGATAAATTCGACCGTGATTACTGTGTTTGCCTGGTCTGGTCTTAGCTCATGACTCAGACAATCCCGGCCTTCACTCAGACAGGCACTCCACTCACTGACTTGTCAGACACACAGTGTCCCCCATATATGGCTGCCATCTAGTGATGAATATCAGCCTGTTTAAACCCTTTTGTAGTCAGAAATCTGATAACATCTCACCGCTTTTCAGTTGTTGAATTTTGCAGTGGGAATGTCATGATGTCCTCACACGTACTGCCCCTTCAACTGGACAGAACACAGAACTGCTTACTTCTAGTCTGTGTCATGTGCTAGCACAACCATGCCGGGCACTACACTCGCATCTCTAGATGTCTCACTGCGTTATCCCAAAACAGCATATTCAAGTTTCAACCAGATTGATTGTTACGCTGTTTTGTACCTTTCATTTGAACAGCCCTTATATTTGGTACTTCGTAAATGTACTTACTAAAATATAACCAGAGAAATGTAAGCTATATAAAATGATATGAATAGAGACTGCTGCTATATAACTTAATACAAGTTTAATTTTTAATAGAAGCTGCATTAAAAGTATATTTTAGGGTACCCCTTGGCGATTTTTGGCGGTACCTGGATACCGAGTTTGTGTAATTCTTTGACTTATTATTTTGGCTTGCATAACGACGATTTTTGCACCAAAAATTGCCGCTACACAAAGCCAAAATAACAAGACAAAGAATTGAACAAACTCGGTATCCATGTACACATCAACCTAGTTTCACTTAAAAGAAAATCCCTGAAGTGCACAAAAATGGCATTGCACACTTCCTTGACTTTATCCATGTACGCATCGACTTATTTTCACTTTAAAAAAAATCCAAGAATTGCACAAACTTGCATTGTGCACTCCCTTTACTTTGTCCATGTACACATCAATATATTTTCACTTAAAAAGTCGAGCACCCAATTCTATTATACAGGCAAACAAAAAATACATAATCTCAATAAACTGCATTTTAAACCAAACTATAAAATAGCATAAAAAAGGAAAAACGTGCTATACATTTAAGCACTGCAAAAAGCAAATATCCACTTACCCTGATTTAGAAGTTTCTTCGTCTTTAGTCTGTGGCACACAAAATTCCTTAACAGTATCCAAAACTTCCTAAAATTATCTGAACTTGAATCCGTATATCGGCAGCGTCACATCCGAACCTTTCTTCCTACAAATCCATCTAAACGGTTTTTACATTCGACTAGACGCATAACCTTCCTATAAACAGGACACTTATAAAGGCTACTAAGTAAACCTTCATTTACACACCACTCAATTAACGTTCTTTTCTCCTTTTGTTCCAAATTGTACAGAAAGCTTCAAATTAATCTTACTATATTCAGCCATTCTACCATCTAAACAATAAAACCAACACACACCATAAAAGCACTTACAAAACATCCCATGATTCAAAATTTCCCAGAATCATGCACCTGATTACGCCACAATAGGGTTTCCATAACATTCAACGACTCGGGCTACCATAAATAAAATAACAACTTGGCGATAAATGAAACAACAACTTCGTCATAATACAAGGGGTACCTTAAAGTCTTCTCTAACCGAAACTGCTATGTAAAAGCATTGAATGTTTGAATGTAAGAAGCATTAATTAAAGAAACAGAATAAGTAATAAAAATTTAAATTACATCCAAAGGGTTGTTTTCTTAATGTTTTGTGTTTTATTTTTATTTATTAAATATCATGTTCTACATACACAAACCATAAAATTCACTTCAACAGCAATATCGCAAAATAATTTTTATATGAGCATATCGTTAGAATTTCCGATACAGAGTCTCGTGCACTGGAGATAAAAATGTTTTTTTTTTTCTTTTTTTCCATACAGTGTTGTCATTGCTCGCTTTGAAATCTTTTAGTTTATTAATAAAAAATTCATTGAAGTGTTACAAAATATGAAACTGATATTGAAACAAATTTCAAATTAGAGCTTCCATACGCCCATATTCTATGGAAGATTATGTTATTGAAATTTTGATGGCTCTAAAAAAAAGATAATAAAAAAAGGCAAATGTTATTTGGAATAAATTTTGAATTCTGGAACAAGGAATGAAGTGAGTTCAATTTTTTAAAAAAAGAAAATATTAATAAATATATATCAAAATCAATTAACATTGAGGAGTTCAAATTTTGAGAGCCAGTTTTTTTAAAACTTGGCAGTTTGGCATAATTTGAATTGTAGAACCAAAATATGGAAAAAATTTGGCATGTCATTACAGAAAAAGCCTGATTTTGTATAAAAATACCTATATTAGAACAAATACATATCCTAAGCAGCACTTTCAAGACATGAAAAACACAATTTGATTTTTGTCAATCAGCTTAGTAGAATGGGAGATATTGAACTGCCCCCGCCTTTTTTTTTTTTTTTTTTTTTTTTTGCACAGTGTATATGGTTGATTCATTCCTTTCTGCGTATGTCAACTTACTATTAGCTCCCTCTGACATCAACAGATTTTTTTTTTTTTTTAGCTTAAATGGTCAATTTACCCATAAGGGCTATTAATTTCATTATTTTGGCATTTTGCACCGTCCACTATAAAACGAAGTTTCACATTTCAAATTGTTGTAGAATGCATGCATGTTTCTCACATTGTGAAAAACAAACAATACCTAAAGACATCAAATTTTGAATATGGGCATCTGGAAACAAAAATTTGGAATTTGTTTCATTATCTATTTCATATTCTGTAAAACTCTGAATTTTTTCTTAACAAATTCAATGATTTTAAAGCGAGCAGTGGTAACTCTGTACCAAAAAAACATCTTTGTCTCCAGTGCACATGACTATATTGGCTCTTTCTAAATATTTTGTGATATTGCTCTTGAATTGAGTTTTATGGTTTAAGTGTGATTCACATGATATTAAATAAGTAAAGGTAATACACAAAGCGTTAATAAACCGTCCCTTTAGGCAAAATATAAAAACTGAAAGCTTTCAGACTTTTTACCTTTTAAAAAAAATACATAAACAATAATGTTTTGTCTTACAATAAAATTAGTGTATTATTATTTATTTTATTTTTAGTCCAAAGGGACAATCTACCCTGAAGGACTATTAATTTCATTTTGGCATTTTGCATTGAAAACTATAAATGGTCAATCACCTTTCAAATTGTTGCGGCTAAATATTATAGCCCTGTATTATATTAAAAAAAATTAAATAATGAAGAATCTGCATGAATGTATGTATGTTTCTCGCATTGTGATAAAACAACGGTACATCTATTATAAAATCATCATTTTAAAATAGATGAATTTCTTAACATACTTGCAAAAAGGAGTTTTTTATTCAAAATTTCCTAGGATATACGTGAATTTACATATTGGCACACTTTGAAATTTGCCATATATGTTGTAAGCATTAATAATTCTAAATGTAATTTCGCTTTATGTTAAAATTATTTGAAATAATGAATAATGACTTCTTTTCACTCATTTACAATGAAAAAAAGGAAAGGAAAATAGGTTGCTATAAATTAAGAAATTTGCCAGATGAAGTTTTTCAATGCCAAATGAAGTTTGCCAATGAAGTTGTGCCAAGATAAGTTTTTCAATTTCTCCATAAATTTCATGCTAACTTTTACAAAATTTAATATTTAGGAATAATTTGGGTCATAGAATCGAAATAAGAAAAAATG